AAAATACCTAGAGTTCTTATATTGACATATAAGACCATTGATGTCTTATTTTGTCTATGGAAGTCTTTCAATTATTATACATTCTGTAGGAGACCGTTAGAGTTGTTCTATTGGCTATTGAAGGCCTACAGGTCTCTATTGTGTATAGAAAACTTAGAGATTTTCTATTGTCTGCAGAAGATTTCAAAGTTCTCTATGTGCATTTATATACTTTAGGTCTTCACGTTTCGATAGAAGTCCTTAAGGTCATTGTTTGATCTATAGATGTCCATAAAAGAAGTCATGAGGTCTTTCTATGGCCTATATAAAACCTAGAAGAGATGGTCTTCTATTGTCTATAGAAGATCTAATGATTTTATTATATATTTTCGGTAGAAGAACTTAAGGTATTTTGAAGACCGTGACTTTTTCAATTTTTCCCCCCAGAAGTCCAGATGTTCTATATTGTCCATAGAAGACATACAGGATTTATATAATACCGGGAAGACTTAGATGTCTTATTTGTCAATTGAAGACCCAGAGGTATTTCTAAAGCAAAACTAAAGGCTTCTATTTTCTCAAGGTCTTCTGGAAGCTGTTGTGGCCGTCTTTGGTCTAAAGAAATGCTTGAAGTCTTTGATTGTCTCTAGAACTACCAAAAATTATTCTATGTTACTTTAGCTGTTCTTAAATCACTTCTGAGCCGAATTCTTTATATCCTTCTATTTATATCTAAAATCAGAATTTTAAGAATATAATTTACTTAATTATTTTGTATTTTTAATGCGAACTTTCCACTTTTGTTTGTTTGTTATTTTTGTGTGTACCAAAGTCCATACTAATGCCATAAATCTCCAAATGGGTTTTCTAGGGTTTAATAATGCGCATACACACCCAAACACACGTGCTAACAATTAACGGATAATCATAACTTAAAAATCTCAAAAATAAAATTAAAATAACCAGACATCTATTAAACTATAAAATAATAAAAAAAGTTAGACAAACATTTAATAAAAATTACAAAATCAAAAAAAGGGAAATAAAAATGTCAAATAATTACACACACACATATGTAGTACCCGCGAAAGAGAATGTTGAAATTAAAATTGAAATTTTGTTTTTAATAGGGGGACAGATTTTTCTTAAGAAATTGTCTGTGTGTCTGTGTCTGATGCTAACGACCGGCTAGAACATTAGCGTCGATTTTTTTTCGTTGAGTTTATTTGAAAATTACGATGCTATAGTAAACAGAAGTACACAACTGGTCATAAACTAACTACAATAAGAACAACAACACCATTATTGCCAATGTGTTGCAAATGGTACTGAAAGCCATTACGCTCGAAACAAAACAAAAAAAAAACAATATTTCAAAAATCAAAAGTGACATTAAACGTTTTACCATAAGTTGTGTTTTAATGCTGATAAGCAGAACCCCCAAAGCGTCCGTCATTGACGAACAGTCGCTACTGGAGCACGTCTCTCGTCTCCAATTACTTCTTGGGTTCTTAAACAAAAACAAGCTGTAATTAAGTTTTGAAGTTTTGGAAATTAGTTTCACACATCGCGGCCTTTGATAGAAAACAAAAATTACTGCAATTCTCATTCCGAATAATAAGTTCGAAGTGTAAACACTGGAAATCAAAACAAAAAAACCCACACAAATAAAAACCACGAATCTTAAATTTCGAAGTCTCCCAACAGTGAAGTGTGACACAAATCATGTAAATCGGGAAAATTCAGAAAAAAATAATAATTGAAGAAAATACCATGGCATCTATACAAAAAAATTCCTCCGAGGAATCCCAAGAGTCCAGCTGTAATCAGGACAAATCGGAACCCAATTCCCTATCACGTTGCAATAGTGCCGACAGCAATGCCTACCTGGTGGCAAATGTCTGCAGAACGGCTCAGGTGAAATCAAGTTCAGTGCCTGCCTCCCGGATACAGAGTGCCAGCAGTGCCAGTACCACCAACACAAATGCTGGAGGTCAAGAGGGCACCTATACCACCTCTGCAATAACGGGAAATCATCACACTGCGGTGTTGCGCATACATCTCGATTGTGAGGGTGGTATTTTAAATACCGCCTTTATTGATAATAAAGATGTGAAAGGTGAAAGTGAGCTCCCGAAGAGGTCACAAAGGAAACACAGTGAGGACAGCAGTCGCATGAATTTGCATAAAAATTGCCCGGCTAAAAATATCAACTCCTTACCTGCCTTCAATGCAAATGTCAACAGCAACCAAGAACAACAACAGAAAAATTCTCCACCTCCAAACAGCGAAGTTAAATTAAGACGCCATTCTGCCTATGCCCAAGTCTATCGGGATTTGGTTAACGATAGTAAATGCAATTTAAATCAATGCAATATAACACCAACACAAACAACAACAACAGCCGTCGCATCATCTCAACCACAAGCACGTCCTGCATCCTACATACAAACAATTGTAACCAAGAATGGTGACTACGTGACCACCTCAGTGCCGCATAAGTCAGCAGCAGCAGTGGCTGCCTATATTGACCATCAGTTAAGCACGCAACAGGACATACAAAATGGACCACAGAAACGTGCCTGGTTCAAGGCACAAAAGTAAGTTCAGGGTCTCAATTACATATAATATAGTGTTCAGAGAGAGTGTGACACGGGAAATATCCTTCCAAGGAACTTCTTGACAATTGAACAAACAACAAACAAAAAAGTTTGAAGTGAATAGGAAAACCTTTTAAGCAGCGTCATATAGGTTCTTCCCTATATATGTAGAGGAGAACCTCTATATGTAAAAGAGGACCTCTATATGTGGAGAAGAATTTCTATATGTAGAAAAGAACCTCTATTTGTAAAGGAGAACCTCTATATGTGGAGGAGAACCTCTATATGTAGAGGAGAACCTCTATATGTAGAGGATAACCTCTATATGTGTAGAGGAGAACCTCTATATGTGGATGAAAACTTCTATTTGTAGAGCAGAGCCTCTATATGTGGAGGAGAACCTCTATTATTAGAAAAGAATCTCTATATGTAGAAAAGAACCCCTATATGTAAAGAAGAAACTCTATATGTGTAGGAGAACCTCTTTATGTAGAGGAGAATCTCTGTATGTGTAGAAGAGAACCTCTATATGTATAGAGGAGAACCTCTATATGTAGAGGAGAACCTCTATAAGTAGAGCAGAACCTCTATATGTAGAGGTAAACCTCTATATGTAGAGGATAACCTCTATATGTAGAGGTTAACCTCTATATGTAGAGGAGAACCTCTGTATGTAGAGGAGAACCTCTGTACGTAGACGAGAACCTCCGTATATTCAGAGGAGAGCCTCTATATCTAGGGGAGGTCCTCTATACATAGAAGAAAACCTCTACATATAGAGTAGAAACTCTATATATAGCGGAAACCCTCTATATATATAGAAGAGCCTCTGTACATAGAAGAGGTCCTCCATACATAGAGGAGGTCCTCCATACATAGAGGATGTCCTCTATACATAGAGGAGGTCCTCTATACATAGAGGAGGTCCTCTATACATAGAGGAGGTCCTCTATACATAGAGGAGGTCCTCTATACATAGAGGAGGTCCTCTATACATAGAGGAGGTCCTCTATACATAGAGGAGGTCCTCTATACATAGAGGAGGTCCTCTATACATAGAGGAGGTCCTCTATACATAGAGGAGGTCCTCTATACATAGAGGAGGTCCTCTATACATAGAGGAGGTCCTCTATACATAGAGGAGGTCCTCTATACATAGAGGAGGTCCTCTATACATAGAGGAGGTCCTCTATACATAGAGGAGGTCCTCTATACATAGAGGAGGTCCTCTATACATAGAGGAGGTCCTCTATACATAGAGGAGGTCCTCTATACATAGAGGAGGTCCTCTATACATAGAGGAGGTCCTCTATACATAGAGGAGGTCCTCTATACATAGAGGAGGTCCTCTATACATAGAGGAGGTCCTCTATACATAGAGGAGGTCCTCTATATATAGAGGAGGTCCTCTATACATAGAGGAGGTCCTCTATACATAGAGGAGGTCCTCTATACATAGAGGAGGTCCTCTATACATAGAGGAGGTCCTCTATACATAGAGGAGGTCCTCTATACATAGAGGAGGTCCTCTATACATAGAGGAGGTCCTCTATACATAGAGGAGGTCCTCTATACATAGAGGAGGTCCTCTATACATAGAGGAGGTCCTCTATACATAGAGGAGGTCCTCTATACATAGAGAAGGTCCTCTATACATAGAGGAGATCCTCTACACATAGAGGAGGTCCTCTATACATAGAGGAGGTCCTCTACACATAAAGGAGGTCCTCTATACATAGAGGAGGTCCTCTACACATAAAGGAGGTCCTCTATACATAGACGAGGTCCTCTATACATAGACGAGATCCTCTACATATAGAGAGGATCCTATATACCTAAAGGAGGACTTCTATATATAGAGGAGGAGAGCCTCTATACATAGAGGAGACCAGCATCCTCGATATACAGAGGAAGTCCCCTATACATCGAGGAAGTTTTCTATACATAGGGGAGGTCCCCTATAAATAGAGAAGGTCCTCTTTAAATAAAGGACGTCCTCCATACGTATAGAAGGGGTCCTCTATGTGTAGAGGAGGTCTCCTATGTATATGAGAGCCTCTATACATGGAGGAGGTCAGCTATACATTGATGAAGACTTCTATACACATATATGAGGTCCTCTATATATTGAGGAGGACCACTATGCATGAAGAAGTTTTCTTAGTTATTTTGTCGAAACATTTATGTTGAATAAAAATTACTATTTAAATTAATGCAACCTTCGAATTGGAAACACATTCACCCTTCTCCAAACTTCGCGTATACTTACATATTTGTCTCTGCCCCCTCGGTAATTTAAAATAAAATAATATCTTTTATTATTTATCATCGTATTATTCGTTCATCACTTAGTCTTAAGCACACTTCTCTTATTTAACTTTACTAAACTCACCCTTCCCCTACTTCTCCTTTTCTTTACAGCTCACAAAATAATCTCTGCAATGGCGTTATATCCGGCAATCATATATTGGCGCCAAAAATCCAAAACAGTTGCAGCCCTAATGGCCAGAAAAAGGGTACCGTTTCGCTAACCCATCTGCCCCAGCGGCCACCGGTCGATATTGAATTTACGGAAATTTCCTATTCAGTGTCAGAGGGACGACGGCGTGGCTTTAAGACAATATTAAAAGGTGTTTCGGGTAAATTTCGCAATGGTGAGCTGACGGCAATAATGGGTCCATCGGGTGCTGGCAAAAGTACGCTGATGAATATTTTAGCAGGATATAAGTAAGTGGCAAATAAATAAAATGTAATAATAATGAATATATAAAAGGAAAAAAGAAACAAAAAAGAGACAAAGGAGGACAAGTATCCTTAGTGGAAGGAAATTTTAGATGGAGTCATGCACACACACAGATAAACTAATGAGGAAATGTTATATCATGACAATGTTAATTAAAAAGTAGGGGGTAAATCGCTGGAGGACAAAAAAGAGCTTTGTCGCTGGATGTGACAATTTTGTTAATCACTTTTGTTTTTGTTTTTTTACTTAAAGTTGATATTTATGTTCATTGCAATTGGGGGAGATTTTTTGCCGAGGGGCTTACAACTGAAACGAATCAAGTTAATCAAATTTAAAAATTATATTTAAATTTAATATTGTATAAAACAAGTGAAAATGGAATTAGGTTAGTTCGGGCCAAACATTTTTATACCCTTCACCCTTACGATACTACAGCGAATGGTTTTGGGATGTATTGGTAAAACTTCCGATGTAATAGGAAAACGGGCGAGGTGTTTATAAAAATGACAAATGAAATAATCGTGTAACCCGTTAATCATCACATGTACCAAATTTCAGCCACATTTGATGACATATATTCCGTACTAAGACGAAGTTTCCAAACCCACTGAAAATAATAATATTGTGCTGTGACTTCCAAGGATATCCTTTTTCCATGAACATTATTCTTGATTTTTTTTAATATGAACACTCTAAAAACCCCAAAAGGGTGTATCAATTTGAATACTTTTTGGAGAGATGGTCTTCGATGATGATCTTCGTAAGTTTGCCTGATAAGAAAGACTGATATTAAACATAATACCCTTTTAACATTAAAAGGGTATTATATATGAACCTTTACACGCGACGTCTTTTGATCTTAAAGTCCCTAGGAATATCATTCGGATAATATTTTTTGTATAAACAAAATTCAAGGATGTATAAACAAACAATAACTCCATTAAAAAATTGAGGAAATATTTTAGCAAATGTTTATTTTCGTTTTAACAAAAACAAATGTAAGAGAACGCATTAACGCTGGTATGCAAGGCTGTCCATCTTTGCTCTCAAATGTCCTTACATAATTTTCCCAGACGCAATCGGGCTACACAAATTTGTATCCTCTGTTGGAGACTTAATTAGAGACTCCTTTACGTCACAATTACTTCGATCAAGAAACCTCTCGCAATATTTTTTGGATAGTTCCACGGTAACATCCAAATATATTTAGGATCCTCTTGATCTGAAGGAATTTCCTTTCGGTAACGAATTCGCATAACTACGCAGCGTCGTAATTATTTCTATAAAGAAGTAACTTGCAATATCATTCGGATAGTTCAGTGAGAATTTTCGAATGCTTAGCTGGTCTCCGGTAAATATTCTTGTTGGAGATTTCCTAGGCATTGAAACATTTGGTAGTTACTGTCAATGGAAAGATCATCAACAGCAGCATCTACTATTGCCTCGAAAGTATCGATTTACCATTGACCACTATGCAAATACCGATATCCTCTTCCACCACGTTTAATGATTTTTTGATTTCCGTTGTGTTGAACACAATGGTATCCGTGGCATCTTACTCGTCCATCAAAGGCGAATAATCCCAGAGATTGGTCAAGATACTTTCTTGGATGATACGGAAGCAGTCGATTTCCTCAATTAGGTCTGGGAGATTGTCTGTATGTCCAAAACTAGCGTTAATGCCATCAAGAGTAACGAGGTTGGGATGGTTTAATGAAAAGTCCACGATACGTTGGCATTGGTCGATGACATTGAAAAACCCAGTGATACCCTACACAACTACCACGAAAATCTAACTTTCTGCGGTTCTATATTCTGAGCCTGGGAAATATTTCGCCATATTTGCCCCCTCTTGGCCGATTTTATGTCAACAACTCCGCTTTCTAATCTTGGCATATTTATACCCTACACAACTATGTTGTCAGGGCATTACAGCTTTGTACAGCTCCAAAAGTTTGTAACGCCGCGAAATATTGGTCCTAAACCCAGCTTTAAGTATACCGAACGTCTCGACTAGCTGAGTCGATCTAGACATGTGTTTCCGTCCGTCCGTCTGTCCATTAAAATTTGTAAACACGATACAGGCCACAGTTATGGACCAATCTTCACGAAATTTTGCATGTAGGATGGGTTCTGGCCCATGAAGACCCCTATTGTTTTTGTAAAAGATCGGTTAATATTTAGGGGATGAAATGGACCAAATACTAAATTTTTGTCGGTTATTCTGGTCGCTCCTGAGGCCGCAA